AGGCTCTAAGGTTTAAAAACTTGGGTTTTATGGGTAATTTTGAACGCTTTATCTAATGAGATCATAAAAAATCGTTTGAATTTTTGACTATGTTACGGGTACTTTGCGTGGTGCTTGGTATCCCTTACGAATCCTCCCTTAAGATATCCCTAAGGTACAAAAAAGTAGAGTATCATGAACATTGTTACAAAAGAATTGCTCAATGTATCGAATGAAATTGTTTTCTGGCCTCCTGATTTTTTTGAAAAAACCTGAAAAATTTTAGGCGCTCACCTGAAAAACCTGGCAGGTATTTCGATTTTTTACTCTCACCCCTGTATTTGCGAATTGTGAATGAGAATATACCAAGCCCAGCACATTTTATAGAAATTTATTTATTTGCGTATTCTGGTATATTCTCGTGTATTCTCACTGACAATACACTTGCTGGGCTTGGTGTATTCTCCGTGAGAATGCACCAAGCCCAGCAAGCTTGAAAAAAACAGTCTCTTTTTGAGAATACACTGTAGTACTGATATTCTGTGAAAGTAAAGCAGTAAAAATGTTTTCACTTTCTTAGAATTGTGTGAGAATCTTAAAACTTAAAACTTTATTAAAAAGCTTGTTTTGAATCTAAACTTCAAAAGAAACATGCCATCTTGTAGAGAATCGAATTCTCCGTCGATCAGTATGACTTCCATTTTTATTAGGAAAAGTGTCTCAAAAGTTTTCAAAAAATGTAAAACTGGACTTTTGGTACCAAAATTTAACTTTTTTAAAAAGCTAATGTGAGATTCGTAATCAGCGCCAAAAACTGCATCTAGTGATATGCTCTTCTCAGTTCTGCTCTAAAATAATTTGTTCAGAAACTTGATCAGCGAAGTCTCGAGTGGACAAGCTGCGGAGTTGAACTGGAGTTGAGATTTTTGTTGAGAGAGCTGGAGTTGAAAACGTTTGGAGAAAAAAATTGGAGTAGGAAATTTGAAAACGGAGTTAAGTTGCAGTGGAGTTGGAGTTGAAAGTCAGCGTAGTTCCCCAGCCCTGGATACGATGGAGACTCAAGAACACGTGCGAGCTTGTAAATGTCGTGGATTTCACCAATGGATATTTGCAAAATATTAGCCTTCAGTTTCAGCTACCCTGGCTACGCCACTATACGTATCGTTCAAGGATTCACCATGCCCTTTACGACATCTATACTGCTGTTAAAATGAATTCGCGTACAAATTCTTCTCGACAAGTAATAGCAAAGCTGATTTTATGGGTGTATCGGCCATATCGAAGTATATATGAGGAAAAAAGTTCTTCTCTCTAACTCTTTACAGCTTTGAGATGAATTTCAAAAACAATCTTTGGTACCCAAGAATAATGTGAGTTTACTTCTATCAAAGTTTTATCTCTTCCTCCGTGTGAGGCAACTCATAAGCACAAATCGTTTTTTACTTTTTGTACAATAAACAGCATCAATACCAGTAACTTTCATTATAGTAAATTTTTGACTATACCAAAATCTGAATTTAACAGAAGAAGAATCTCCGGTCTTATCTTTTGGAAGTAATAAAACTTTCAAAATGTCATCACATGTTTGTTTTTTTATGAAAGTTTGATCTCGATATTTCTGTTGTAATGAATTAACACATTTTTCTACTTCATCATAAAATTTCTTTTCGTGTGTATCTTCCACGGTAAAGTGGGAGTACAAGTAGAAGAAAAAGTTATAGCTGAAATGGAAGAAGAAGGTTTTGTATGAGATGAAGGAGACGACATAATTAACCTGAAGTGTTTCGACAAATTGGCAAAAGTAAAGACCATATACTGTTAAACATATGGGCGTACACACGCACAATTGTTGAGCAGAGTATGATGTAATGTGAATAATGTATATAGTACACCCAGAATAAGCGAATAACCGAAGAAAATAAACGGTATTTTCAGTCGTAAACTAATCACACTAGTCTTTGAAGTGGCAACAGACCACCCCATATTAGAAGACCAGCCTAGGGAGAAATTTCTGAAAAACGCCATGGGATATGGTAGTTTTTCACCAAAAAAAGTGCGATGTGGGAAACCGTAATAGAAAGTTATAGCGTTCTATCCTTGGAGGCGGTTTATGTCCAGGATGATTGCATCCACAACATATTATTAGCTTTGGAGCCGATAAGAATTCGTTGGTGTTGTATAATTGACCGAATAGTTGAATATATCCACTATTTAAAAACGAATTCGTCAGCAAAAAATGTGATAGAATGCAACACTTACCAGACGATCCTCTATGGTGCTTTATAAAAGAAACTGTGTTCCATCTACAATTTGTACCTGCGGACATTCCTATGGAACTAGTGAACATTATTTCTTTGCTTGTAGTCTGTACACGACTGAGAGAAACCTTCTTGTAACAAAGTTTAAAGTTTTAAACACAACTATAATATCGAAAGTTTTACTTTTTTTTCAAATCACTGAGAGTATTGAAAATGCTTCTAATGCGTACTTCGGTACACCTGGTGTTTTCTTACCTTAAATAAATAAAGGCATAAATCAAAGTCGTAAATATTATGACGATTCAATTTTCTTTTATTCTGATGAATGTTTCAAATATAACTATTGAATGATAGCTAATTATATTAAACTTCTACTTTTGGCACTACAGTTGTGCTAACATTTGAATATCTTTGAGCTAAAACTAAATAATTTAAAAGATGACTCATGCGTTATGTGTATTTGAGTTAAAACATACTAGTAAAATTCATAAATCGGTATGACTATGTAAAATATCTGAATTATCACTTAGAATCAGCATTCTACAAATTTGATAGATAGAGCCGTTATTAAATTGTAGTATTTTTATCAAATTAATTATTTTTCTGAATACTTTTCTCGAATAACTGACGATGCACTACGAATGCGAATACACAGTTTTGTTCTACGGACTAATTTTTTATTCATAATTGATAAATTATTGTCTCGAAGACATAAGCCAATAGATTTACCAAGAAACAGCTCCATCATTACCACAAAGGGTCCCAAGTAATACTGCGTTATCTCGCCCTCAGTCGTTTGATGTACGGATGAGAAAAGGCCTGAAATTAAGAGTTTCGTGGATATAGGAAACAGAGCCTGTTATCTTTCTTTTCTACTTCATACTAATCGTTTATTTGGATATGCAAAGAGAAGGTGGATATAAGAACAACGCAGAGCTTTTAATAGACACCGAGGTACGTTTACTGATATATCATTTGATGTTGATGTAACGATATTGAGTGAGAACGTTTTCGTTTTTTTCGTTCTGAAATTATTTCATGGCTAGTGTGTTTCTTTCGAAGAAAATTTGCAGAAGCAATGTATAACTATATTTTACTATAATAACGAATATTTATAGAACTTTCCTGAACATTGGTCTAATCCATATATATTTCCAAATCTGTCCGTTGTAAAACCGAATAAATACGAATTAATTATTGTTGTTGCGACCTCTAGGATCGATTCTTTTGGTCGAAACTTCCATCTCAACTTTGTTGGATGAATGTGATGTACAATAGTGATTCGACTGTGGGAAATCAGATAATGATTATGAGCGACCTCGAAAACTTCAGCTCAGCTTGATTGCATGATAAGGATTCTTTTGAGTTTAGTCTAGGGTCTTATCAGATCGTTGTCTGTGTGTGTGTCTGTGCGCAAAGTATGGAAAAATGACTGTCAGATATTTATTTTTTTTATTTCTCCAGAAATCAGTCAGTTTTGATAACACAAAAGAGACATCGACGGATAATAAAACTTACAGAGCATGGATAGTCTAACATAGCAAATCGATTAGGAATGCCTCCAATCCGCTTGGGATCTTCAGAGGGTGTCCAGAAAATGCTTTAGCTTTATGTGAAATTGTGCACTTTTTCCGTGGAATGAAAGAAGTTTACAATGTTTCTCAGTTATCCTGGGTGCGAACGCCAACCAAAGGAAAGGCGTGAGCTTTGTCCTAAATTTAGAAATACTTTTAGATCTCTGGGGATCTTTGAAGAGTCTAGAGAAAACTTTTAAGACTTACATTAGATTACGAAGGTTATAGCTGGAAATCAAAGAAAAAATCATAATGTACTTTAGATAATCCTCTAATAAGACTTTAAGTATTGGGTATGTGCCTCATTTATTTCTTGCCTTGCAAGAAAAACGATGGTCGTCAGAACTGCGGTAGTCCTTGCTTGCTGCAGCTTGTTGAGAATGTTCTTCAAAAAGTAATGTGAACAAGAAAGATAATTGTTTCATTCAGTAGAAACAATTTGATACTGGCGATTTCTTTCCAGTCAAGGGAATCAGAATGATGAACGTTACTTGTAGGTTCTAGTCTAACTACAGAAAATCAAACTATGGTTGATGTTCCTGGAAGGATGACAAAGTCTTCTATTAAAAAACTGATATGTGATATCTTTAAGGCTTTTCTCGAAGAAATAGTTATAATAAAACTTGAACTCTTGGTCAATCTGACTATATTTAATACATGAGAATCGTAGTGAAAATCTTCTTGAATAGTCAAGATTTTAAGATCATGAAAAGCAAACAATTTGAGGCCTGTTCTAGAGGCCTGTGAAGCTGTTTGCTTCATACGAACGTATTGCCCAATTTGAATGAAAAAACAATGTGTGCAGGCATGAATAGCATTAGGTTATTTGTTGCAGACTCTTTTATATAACAATGCAATTACAAAAAAGTTATTAGTGTAATTCACTGTTTATTTCTTCGAGTGTTTCATCATCGACACCTAATGATTTTAAATAGGCAATAAATGCATGGAATTGATCGGTGAGAAACTTCTTATTAAAACCAAAGAAATCACAAATAGAATTCCATACCTGTTTGAACATATTCAGATCGGCGTCAACTTTTCTTGGTGTATCGAGCATTTTAGCCATGACTGCTGACCACATTTTAACTCTTGTTTCTTCTCTCAGAATCTTCAATTGATCACCGAAGTATCCTCCTTCAAGTGTTGTGCCACAAATTTTCTCCGCAAACGCAAATGACGCAAGAGCTTCTACGTTCGTCGAATTATTGAGCCATGCTGACATTGGAACGTCATTCTCGCAGTGGCCAACGTAAAGTAATGCTGGGATATCTTCTTTCAATAAACTCTTGTAGAATAAATAATAATTCTTTTCAAACGAATCAAATACACGACCTTTTGCCATTACGAAAATGACGCAATTAAAACCACGTTTATTTTGCTTGATAAATCTGACAAGTTTTTTCAGTGCATCTTTATGTGTTACAGTACCTTTGGATCCTTCATTCAATCCGATAGTGTCGATCAATTCATACATTTCCTCATTGTATTCAACTTGATAAACATTAAAATCAAATGTGCATCCCACTGCCGAATCACTCATAGGTGCGACATGCTCGCCAGCCATCAGGTTGATAAGGCTGCTTTTACCGACGCCTGTTTGTCCGATGACAAGAACTCGGTTAATGTTTCCGGTTCTTTCAATTTGTTTAAGAAATTTGGCAGAAAAACGTGGATTTTGAAGATACAATTCAACTATTTCATCTGATGTTGCTTCTGATGTGATATCTAGTTCTTGAGCTATTTGTAATAAAAATTGTCTTCTTCGTTCAATTTCAACGGAAACCATTATTCCTGATTTAGGTCAAGCGGATCTGAAATCAATCACTTAAATCACTGAAGTTAGAGTCTTATTGGGTAGGGGTACTATGTCCTACTGCACAATAGGATAATAGTGACCACGAATATCAAAATACAGTGAGCCCTTTGAATAATATCTGATAGCGAAGTAATGTCAACATGCCTGGCATACATAGACGACATTTTGGTGTATTCGAAAACACTTGACGAACATTTAGAACATCTAGATGAAATATTTGGACAGATCAGAGAAGCGAATTTAAAGTCGAAACCCACAAAGTGTTTGTTCTGCAAGCGACTGTGGTAACGAGTTGGAGACACTTTTTGGAAAAGAAACTTCTTTTATTATCTGTCTGGATGCTTCACAACGATAACGCTATTCTACGACAACGAGGAAAACCGTTTACACTCTACTCTTGCGCATCAAGACATAGAATAAAAAATCATCATCACTGACCTTTCATCAATAATATTGGGCGAAGGATCATTAGAGAAGTCAAACAAAACAGTTCCTTACCAAAGTAGCTTTATGAATGCTATTTTGATTATGAGTAGGAAGAATATTATATATTATGTATAATAATATTATGAGTAGGAAGAAATATGGAAACTGACTCATGAAACCGATTTCTCGCTTGTATTAATGCCCCGTTAATAAAACGCTCTCTTCAGCATTGAGTTTCTTTAATTATGTAGAATTGAATACTTCACCTTTACCGAATAGATAAGAAAGAAGTTTGAAAAAAACGACTATTTGTTCTGTCGAAGACAAACGAAAGAGGATGTCAATAAGAAAATTTTTATGCAATTCTTTATATTCAGGCGTATTCACACTGTGTTGCAATTGTTACGATGTGTTAAGAGTACAAAAACTGATATTTTATGAGTTAGCTGTTAATGGCCAGTGAAATATATCTATTTGGCGATATTCGACCGGAAAATAGCTGTATTTCACTGACTGCTAACAGCCAACTCACGAAATTCATACCGTAGATAGAGTAGAGTCGTGGCTACATCTCAGTAAGTAAAAAGAAAAAATTTTCATCTCTCTTAAGTCGGGAACTTGATATTTACGGAAAAGGAATAAATCACTTATATTTCACAAACCATCTAGAAAAAGCGGCCCAAAGTTGGCGGGTGATCAGTATTTGGTAAGAGCTATGATCACACAAAATTAGCGATCGTTCCGTACGAAATTGCGATCGTTCCGTTTAGTGCTGTAGGCTGATGGACTAGTACGCACTCAAAGTTGTATCGATGCTACTTATTGGCAATCATATCCAGTTTTTCCTTTAGGTAAATTTCAAAATGTGTGAGAAAGCAAAGACAAACAAGACAACTTTTTCTAATTTGGATTTTACCCTTGTCTGGAATCAAATGATGTCCGATTCTGGAGAAAGATGTGGGCTACAAAATGGAAAATAATAAAATCTTGAGAGATTAGATACATTGAAAAAGATTTGTTTTCCCCGTTGAATGGCATCAAAACCAATGAGTTTCTGGTTGTGGAAGTTATATCTCGTAACTACAGGAGACAAAAGATTTTGGCACGATAGTAGGTTACCACACGGTTTAGATTGCCAAAATAGCAAATATTTTCGAAAGTAATTCAGCAGAAAAACAGCTATTGATTTTTGTATTTGAAAAAAAAACGGTACAATGACTGTACAATCATCATCTATATTCCGAATTTTCAGCTGAGGAGAGAAATAACTGGAAACTCCGTGTTGAATTTTCAACATTGGATTTTCTACTGTCTTGAAATGTAATATCTTGCGACTTTCTGGAATTAAAAATGGCTTTCTCAATTTTGTAGAAAGTCCCTTCGGTTCGGATACCTTTTATGGTTTAGAAACATAAAACACACATATACACACATTTTTTAAATAACTGATGTTGCAGAAAAGCGAAAAGGCTTGTTTCACAAGGACAATTACTATCTATCAATGCATCAAGAAAGTGGGAAGGAACTTGCAGCTATTTTCCTCCGTACGTGAGATCCTTCACGGACAAATTTTTTTTTGAAAATCCAAGCTGAATTACGAAAGTACAGTGCAGCTATAGCAAGGGGGAAACAACAGATTCCTGGACTCCAGGAGTCTATTGGAGTACCACAGTCCCAAGGATATATATTTTTATTTTCCTTTATATTCATGAAACTATGCCATATTTTATTGTTTGTTTATTAATTATAATCAAAAATATATATTGACAATGATAAATTTAAAACTTTTGCCAAGATTGGAAACAAACGAGTCATAATAAAGGAACTATGGACAATGTTATTAGAACTGTTGTATTAATTGTTGATACATAGTAATAAGTTTTCATAAGGTGAAAAAAAATGCAAACTTTCAGTGGAATTTATTTTTGGCATTATTATACATATTTAGATCCAGCTTAACGAGCTGATTACGATTAACACCTTCCGACCCTCCAAAAGCCATTTCTTCATGGAGAAAAACTCAAATTACTGAGAGGACCTGTATTAATCAAAGAAAAATCAGAAAAACCGTCACGATGTGACGATTTTGTGACAGCTATTACATCTTGTAGAGCAAACAATTTTCTACAAACTACAATTTTGTGTTGAATAAACAATTTCTACTTGTTGCATTTTCGCCTGCTGGTCATCAGTCTTTTAGACACGTTTTTCAGATTGCTCCAAAATCGATTTTTGGGGCTGTTTGTACGACAGCTGTATTTTCATAACTAATCAACATTCAGAGCCAAGACACTTTTCATTTTGTAGAAAAATGTTTAATGTACTTAATTATGTAGTTGTAATTTTAGATTAGTTTGTAGCTTTACTGCAATAATCTTTTGAAAAAGAGCGAAAAAAGGATACCGTTAGCTAGACAAGCCGTCCAGTTACTCGTGAATGGTCCACACCGTTTATTGTTTATTCTCTAAAACTTCGCGTGAACTTATTAATGGGTTTTATAGAAAACGTCTAAGAATGATTTTTCGTATTTTTCGCTGCTCGACTCTGGATCTCCATGACGTTTTCGTTCTACCCCGACTAGAGAACAAGTTTAGAAAATGTCTGTCTAGCAGGCTAGAGAGTATACAAATGCTTAAATTTGAATTTTTAGAAAATATTTTCTAAAAATTCAAAGCTCATATTCATGAACTACCGAAAGGCAGGCCAAATCGTAGCATCGTTAATCTTTTTTTGCAACAGTAACGAACATAAATGATTGGGAAACTCGACTTGAATCATTATGTTTACTCCGATAGAATTCATTTCTGAAAGAATCTAAAGAAGATACCACGACCGGTTTCGACCTTTCTCAAGGGTCTCGTCAGGTGGTTTCCTTCGAGAAAGACAGAGTTAAGGCACGACAAGCAACACAACTCCATCACACCGTATGAGCGTGTTACTATTTCTTTTTCTTATCGAACACAGAACGATAACTTTCACACGACGAGAAAGAAGCATGATATCACTGTACAATGCACATGTACTGCTTCTCTACATTAAGTATTTCGTTTTTATCCTATCAGAAATGATTCATCCTTTTAAACTTAAACTGTATCTAGTAATTTTCACTCAACAACCGTTGAGAACAAGGAATAGTAACACCCTCATACGGTATGATGGAGTTGTGTTGCTTGTCATGCCTTAACTGTGTCACCTGACGAGACCCTTGAGAAAGCTTCTCCACCAAAAATGCTTGTGTCGAAAAAGGCTGTTGTATCTTACAACAAGTTTATCAAGTAGTGTCACTTCTCAAACCTAACACTGTCGGTCGAATTGGAAGGAAAAGACAAAACTCAAGTTGAAAATTTTCTTCAACTTTTGGAATAGAACAATCTACATTTTCAACTCTCAATCTATTATTTCACCTTTTCAACTTAAGAGATTCTCCTCTTAACTCTTCCACTTTTGTCTTTATATATCCTTGTCAAGTTTTCAGGTTTTGAACAAACTAAACGAACTCTTCATAGTTTCTAAGTGTAGGAACTGTTTTATGTATCAGAACGTGAAGTGTTGTGCCGCATTCACTCTCAGCACGCCTCTCACTGCCCCCTCCCCCGCACTCTTAAGATTCAGGGCATATTCTCCTGTTTGATAACGAGAAGTCAAAAGTTGACTAGTTGAATAGTTGAAAGGAGAATCTCAAAAATTGAAAAGCTGAAATAGTAGATTGAAAGTTGAAAATATAGATTATTTTATTCCAAAAGCTGAAGATGATTTTCAACTTTTGGATAATTGAAGTGTCTCTTCGAGCTTTACACGTATGCTGATTCGGAGATTAACTGATACAAATATTGTTTGTGATTATTAAAACTTGTGTCATCCAACTCGATGTTAATTCTACGATCTTCATCGTACAGTGGGCAACTTTGGCTAGAGTAGGCGGACATGTGCTATTAATTCAATAATAACTTTTGATAGAAAAGAGCTAGAGAGCTCCGATCTTCGCCATTCAAAAGAGAAGACTTGAAAACATGTTTTCATAATCAACACTATTTTCAGAAGAGTTTTCTGAAACAGGTTTTCTAGGAGATCTTTGGACAACTACGCCGTCTATAAAAATTTTCCAGTAGGATTGTATTGCTTTTTTTCCATGGACTGATAGCCCGTGATGTTTTCTTCGAAATGGGAGTAAAGTGAAACCTTGATTTCCCGTGGTTCGGGCGTTGTATCGAATTTTCTACGAGTCTCAGGACTGGGATCCAGTGACTATTGGTAGCCTTGAAGACGGATGGAATATGGGTAATCGACCATGCTGAGTCTCCTGGCAATATTTGTTTTTAGAAAAGTTCTAAAAATCTACCGAAAAGCGACTTTTACCAAAATTTGCATTTTCAGGCTGTTTTCACCTAATATTAAAAAGTTCACCATCCACTCAATAAACATCAGAACGAGTTCAAAATTTCAGAATGTAGAGTACTTAAGCTATTCCATATCCTGTTTATAAGAGATCTCAAAAGAAATTCTATAAAACCCTAAGGTTTTCTAAAAGGTTTTCTGGAAAACCC